TTCATATTTCGGGTTAAAACGTACGTACGGGATCCAGACCGGATATCACCCACCCGACAAATCATTGTTCGGTTGGTACGTAATCCACATGACCCATAGGGTGGATTATCGATTCTTGTGTTCTGCATTAAACTATTTATAGTTTAAGGGCCTGGTTAGAAATGTTGCCTTAGACTAGGATTAGCTAAGAGCTTGTTATAAAATGATTTGGCCTTAGATTAAGAATAATTTAAGAGCATGGTTGAAATATTGAATATCAAATGACTTGGAATAAAATAGTGAGAATATCATGAACGTTTGAATCATATATTGTGTGCATGATATCAAATGGTTGATTATGAATTGAGATTCAATTTATGTGGATGTTCGACGCTTTAGATATGCTTACTCAGCTTCACCGTTGAGCGTGTAGTGTGTTTTATTTGCTACACGCAGGTAGGTAGAATGAATGATTGGCTGATTCCTGGCAGCAGAAGGGGCGAGACAGTTGTGGTGGATCATTGAACAAAATAAATAATTATGTTGTTATGAGACATGTTTAAAAGTCGCTTCCGCATTATTATTAAACACTCCGTATTTTCTACAATTATGTATGGAATATTATTTATAAATAAAAATGTTTGAAATGTTTTAAATTATCACGATTACCAAATCAATACTTTAGTCCAAAAGGGGGCTGCAGACCTGGACGGATTAGGGTGTTACAGTTTGGTATCTGGCTCCAAAAATAAATATAATTTTTATTTTAACTCTCATAAAAATAATTTTGGAGAGAAGATATTTTTGTCATTCTTTCAATTATTCCTACGACTCAAATTAATAAAAAGTCTTCGGAAATCTTCTACTCCTCCGAGTCCTCCGTTAGGCGCACGAACGCGTCTCGAACTCTAATAAAATCCTATGCACCTTCTTGAATACTTCAAGGAATGGCACCTCAAGTCTTCGTGTTTGTCGTTGTAGCACTTTGATCTTGACTTGAATAGATTGTGTTTGTCAATCATCAAAACCTGTGAGTCAACACTTAACAACACAGAAAGGGTTGAACTCATGCATTCCAACAATAGGCCGTTTAGAATTATACTAACTGACAAGATGTCAGTCTCAACATCAGAAGACTCATTCTGATAAACATCTTATAATATAATTCTAGGAATGCAATTAAGAGTTTACATTAGCATTAGATGTTTGTAAACTTATTACATCTGCCTTTACATGATAGAACTACTCCCTCCGTCCATTTTTAATGTTTCTACTTTCTTTTTCGGTCCGTCCACAAATAAAGTTTCTATTTCCTTTTTTGGTAACTTTTCTTTAATAAAATGACTCGAGTACCCTTATCCTCACTTCATATTTTCTCTCTTCTTTTTCTCCTCTCTTTTATTCTCAATCTCCTCGTTTCCCTTATCTTCCTCTCTTTGCTTCTTCCCAGCTCCCCCCTTCCTTCTTCTTCTCTTTTTTTTTGCCGACCCATGTTTTCCTTTCTTTCTTTTTTCTTCTTCTTCTTTCTTTCTTTTCTTCTTACAGTCATTATATGCTTCATTTTCGCACTGCAAATGCTCAGATCTTTTCATCCACCTTGCTCGCCATCTTCCACCCTTTTTTAGATCTATGAAAATTTCTTTTTTTCAGATTTATTTGAAATTTTTGGAGATCCCAGAGGCCGAAGGTGAGGCGGCGGTCAGACGTAGCCGCGGAGCAACAAGGCTGCGGTCGGAATGGTTTGAAGCAACAAGGAACGAGTCTAGATCTAAAACTTCGATTGCACAGACAAAATGAAGGAATGGTTTTGAAGCTTCGACAGTTTGCCAACTAACCCTGAATGAGGGAGGGCGGTGGAGAGGTCTCGATCGATGGTGAAGCTCTTTGCCAGGGTAGTTGGGTCTAGGTCGCTGGAAGGGACTAAGATATTACAACAGCAGTTGGCCATAAGGGAACCAACTCCAATAATCTCCCACTTGCACTATGGCCAATCTGGCATCGGTCGAATGCCCATTGACCTAGTGTGACCCTCATGCTTAAGCTTTGCCAAGGGCTTGGTCAGGGGGTCGGCTATGTTGTCGTCTGTTCCTACTTTGCAAATCTCCACATTGCCTATGTCTACAAATTCTCGTATGATGTGATAACGTCGTACAATGTGCTTGGTCTTTTGGTGAGATCGTGGTTCCTTTGCCTATGCAATGGCCCTAGTATTGTCGCAGAACAACGGGATTGGATCATTAATACTAGGAACCACTCCAAGTTGAGAAATGAACTTCTTTATCCAAACACCTTCCTTTGCTGCTTCAGCAGCAGCCATGTACGCAGCCTCTGTAGTTGAATCGGCGGTTGTGTCCTGTTTAGAACTCTTCCAGCTAAAAGCTCTGCCATTCAGGCAAAACACATACCCTACTCGTGACTTGTAATCATCTTCATCATTTTGGAAGCTTGCATCAGTGTAATGATCACTTTCAGCTCTTCCTCACCTCCATATACTAGAAATGCATCCTTAGTATTCCGAAGATACTTCACGATGTTCTTGACCAATGTCCAATGTGCTTCACTTGGATTAGCCTGGTATCTGCTGGTCACACTTGAAGAGAATGAGACATCAGGTCTAGTACATATCATGGCATACATGATGGAACCAATTGCAGAAGCATATGAGACCTTCATCACGAGTTCCTTCTGCTCGGGAGGAGAAGGACTCTGGCTTTTGGAAAGAGCCGTGCCAGGTAACATAGGTAAGGATCCCTTTTTCGAGTTAGACATGCAAAATAGATCAAAGACCTTATTTATATATCTATTTTGACATAGACCTATCAACTTTCTTGACCTGTCACGGTAGATTCTTATGCCAAGCGCATAACTAGCATTCCCAAAGTCTTTCATGGCGAAGTTCTCACTAAACCAAGTCTTTACAGATGTAAGAGCAGGAACATCGTTACCCATTAACAATATGTCATTGACATATAGGATTAGGAATACTATCACACTCCCACTGATCTTTTTGTAAACACAAGACTCATCAGAATTCTTCTCGAAACCAAAACTAATGATGGTTTCATCAAAGCATACATACCAACTCCGAGATGCTTGTTTCAATCCGTATATTGACCGTTGCAGCTTACAGAGTTTGGCAGATTCACCAGCAAAACAAATTAGGATTAATGTAATATCCCCAAACAACACAACAAGACAAATATCCTTTAGTTAATCAAATATTTGATTATATCAATCAAATATATCATTAGGTGGAATATCAAAATATGTCTTGATATTTTTCTTTAAAATTTCGGCCATCCTAAAATAAAAATACATTATATTTTATTTTGACATCAATAATTATCATATAATTAAAATGATGAGAAATAAAAAATAAAATGTATATATATATATATATATATAATTTGTTTTGTCAAAATATAATAATCATATAATTAAAATGACACAAACAAAATATAATTTTAAAATATATATGTATTTTTGAAATACATACATACATACAGATACATACATAGATATATACATAGATATACATACATACATACATACATACATACATACATACATACATATATATATATATATATATATATGATGAAAAATGGTTCTAGAGAGAAGAGAGAGATTTCCGGCGACGGTGCCGGAAAATCCTCAGGCAGGTCCTAATCTTAATACACAATACAAACCATTCATCAAACACTTCAGTGATTTATTCAAAGCTACAAATACTGCAGCAGTGGGTACTAAATCAGGTTTCTACAACGGCACACCATCAGTCAATTTTACAAAAGAAGAAGAGGATATGTTGGAGAAAAAGCTTCATCACGCTGCTGTGGGCAGATTCAATAGCTACATTCATCTACCAGTCCTCAAGGAGTTCCTATTGAAAGCTGGCTTCCATAACTTTAGGATCAGAAGAATATCTTCAGCAGACATATTGTTCACCTTTAAAGAAGAAAAAGATTATGTCAGATTCATTCAAAGAGGCAACTGGTATGTCAATAAAACTCATTTCTACGTGTTTAAATGGACACCTAATTATAGTGGAAGGGAGGACAGTCCTATTCTCCCTATCTGGGTTACCTTAGATAATCTGCCTCTACATTTCATTGACTTCCAAGCCCTTTTCACCATCTCATCTCTGCTGGGAAAACCTATTAAGGTGGATGATCACACCATTAATAGAGATAGGAGGGAGCAAGCCAGAATTTGTAATGAGATGGATATCTCACATCCCCCTCCCCCCTTAATTCATATAAGAGCAGGTGGAAAAAACCTCTTTGTCAATTGTATCTATGATAGAATCCCTCCATTCTGTAATAATTGTAAAAAACTTGGTCACAAAGAGGGTGTCTCCTGCCCCAACCATAATCAGAAAGTCACCGGAAAGACCTCCTCCGGCAAGGGAAAAGAGGTTCTTCAGTCAGAGCATTTTCAGTCCTGGATAGAAATCAAAAAGAAAAGGAAACACAAATCTAATAATGATGCTCAGACTGCCACCACAAAAGAGAAGTCACGACCCACTTACCACTGGAAGGCCAAGGATAAAATAACAAACTACTTTACTCCACACATCCTTGATTTACTGGATATGCAGGAGAACTCCATGGACCCACTACCATCCTCTAGCCAGTTGGACCTGGTAACACAAGAGCTGTCAGTCCCCACACCTATGCATTTTAAAGAGAATGATTTCTACTTTCCCACTCTTTCAGAGGCAAAGGAATATGTGGCAAAAACAACAAGACAAATACCCCTCTCTACCACAGCTTTATCTCTCTCTGAATTTTCATCAAAGGTAAATCCACTCAATATTATTAGCTTTAAAGGATCCTTGGATGACTGCCTACACAATATTGATCCTGACTTGGGTCTTAACCCACCTGGTAAGGGGGTGGGACCATCTATTACCTCCTATTTGGACCCAGGAGAATATGGTACTCACTCAGATGATGGTGAATTTGAGGAAATCAGGGATACCTCCTCAATTGAGCCTGTTAACTTCAGAACCCCATCTAAGGATTCCTCTTCATTATCCATCCCAAAGGCAAAGAAGAAAAAACAGTATGATTCTCACAGAACAATTTTCACTAGGAGTCTCAAGGGGCACAAAGACTTTTCTCTCCAAAGTCTTCAATGATTGTGCTCTTTTGGAATGTTTGTGGAGTTAGATCCTCTCTCAAAAGGATCAAATCTCTTTTACATATGTACAAAATTAATTTTCTAGCCATCACTGAACCTATGGTTGATCTCTCTCAACATGATTCCTACAGAATTAAACTTGGTTTTTCTCAGGGGGCCTTCTCTAGCAACAACAAAATCTGGGTCTTCTGGAACTCAGAGTTTCTTAATCTCCTTTCTTTCTTGGAAAAGGACCAGTTTATAAGCTGTCATTTCCAAAACCTCTCAACTCACAACAACATTACCATTACTTCTGTGTATGGGAAACACACCAGTAGAGAAAGGAAGACCTTATGGAAAGATTTGGAAAATTACACTTCAAACTCTGAGTGGGTTGTTGGGGGGGATTTCAACACTATTGCTAACCTTTCTGAGCATAAGGGTAGGATACCCCCCCTGCAATCTGACATGGATGATCTCTCAGAATGTCTGGAAACCTGCAAGCTTACCAATCCTCATTTAATTGGTAATATTTTCACCTGGTCAGGTAAAAGAAGCACGGGTAGAGTCTTTAGAAGACTTGACAGGGCAGTGGTCAATGAAGTCATGTTGGACAATTATGATGATATTACTGTGACTCACTTTAGCAGTACCACCTCAGACCATAAACCTGTGCTACTACAATGTATTAAGAATAATTATGATGGGCCCAAACCATTCAGATTCCTTAATATTTGGATGAATCACCCTAACTTCATGCATACTCTCAAAGACTCCTGGAATTCTCAAACCTGTTTTGGGGGTATGTCAGGGCTGGCTCACAAACTCAAAAGGCTCAAGGCTATACTTAAAGAATGGAACAAAGATGTTTTTGGTAGAGTGGAGAATACTATTAAAGAGGCAGAACTCAAAGCAACTTCAGCACAAGAAAGGTTTGAGTTTGATCCCTCAGATGCCAATAGGACTGAGGCTAATAAAGCCAAAGCTGAACTTATTTTGGCTACTGAAAATGAGATCAACCTCTGGAAGCAAAAGGCTAATATCAACTGGATGGAAGGAGGTGACAGTAATTCCAAGTTTTTTCATTCATTTGTTAAAGGCAGGAGAATTAAATCCACAATCAGAACCATTGATAATAATAAGGGGGATCCTATCAACAAATCAGAGGAAATCCAAAAATTAGCAGTTGATCATTTCTCCCAGCTTTTCTGTAGTAAGAAGATTATCAATCTTAACCCTATCAAGGAGTACTTGGAAGTAAGAGTTACAGAGGCTGACAACCT